ATGAATACTTACAAGTCACATAGAGCATAATAGTATATTTCTATCTACGATCATACTCTACGACGATTGAGGCTATGTTTAACTTATATTCAATCATTCAAAAGCAAAACAAGCCACAAAACTTATACAACTATTGCGCATATAATTGTAGAGAAAATTAAATACATGTCAATCATTCGAGAATCGAAAACGTGCTTTGAATGTCAAAAATATATATAATCAAAAATAAAAAATTTCTTAATAGTTGGTCAGATACACCAAATAGTGGGTCATATACCACCGCCACTTCTACTACGACTACTTGTGACCAACCTCACAATGTCATAATTGCCACCACCACAACCCCACCAACAACAAAGTCGCCAACACTAAATCCAACACCACTGCCACCCCGTCTGCTTATGAACAATAATATGCAACATCACCACCACCCTAATTCAATAGCCCTCATACCTAAAATCAACAGTCAAGCCGACCATTTACACATTACCATTTTCGCCATGCCTCTACATCTATCCCAATCGGCCAATCAAACCAATCCCTACCACTCATCCACGCACATAGCAGCAACGTCCATCATAGGTAGTGCGACGATGGGCTTGGTGGATGTAGGAATATGAGTTTATGGCAGAGAAACCTCCCTCATGGGGGCCACAGCCTTTATCGTCGCCCCCACGAAATCTAGCTCCTGTGTCTCTTACGAGGGACTGAGGTTCGTTTACATTGATGTTACAACCATCAAGGTCCTGGCCCTTATGATTTTCTGAATCTGATCCAGAAAAACCCTAGATCTTTGATGGTCCTGCATGTGGCGTGGTCAATGAGCGTGGTAGATAGCCACTACTTGGTTTTCTACGATCGAACAGAGAGAAAATGGAACGATGATGGCTTCCCAACAGAGAGATAGAAGAGAGAGATGAGGGAAAGGGAGAAGAGATCATGTGCGGTGGTGCAATTTCACAACGGGAAAGAGATGGGGGGAAAAGAGAGAGTTTCGGAAATGAATTAGGTTTTCATAGATGGGTGGGTGAGACGTGTTTTGATATCAAATTTGTGAATAATGAAACTTTATCCCTAATTTTTGAATTGTAATCTTTAAATACCTAGGGTTATGTAATTTCCTCTATAATCAAACCTCAACCGTCCATGTTTGAGCCACATTATTTTCTAAGAATGCATTTTGAAATAGTCGATTATTAAGAATGTATGGTTAAAAAAATAAGAAGATGTGCGTAAAATATTGTTTTATTGAAAATTATATGGTTGAAAAGAAGAGGGAGAAAGATGTATTTTGAAAAAAAAAAAAAAAAAAAAAAAAACTAAGAATGCATTTTGAAATAGTCGATTATTAAGAATGTATGGTTAAAAAAATAAGAAGATGTGCGTAAAATATTGTTTTATTGAAAATTATATGGTTGAAAAGAAGAGGGAGAAAGATGTATTTTGAAAAAAAAAAAAAAAAAAAAGAGATCAAACAAGGGCCTAAACTTTCCATCCAATGGCTAGTTGATCTTTTTTCCTTTAAATTGATTCAAACAAGTCCATAACTAAAAAGAAAAGAAAATCAATCTAAGTTACGTAGAAATTAATAATTTAACGAAATGAAAACTTAGTAATATAGTCCGAATAAATGCATAAAATGCACTTATCAGACGACAATGGCGTAAATAGACGGCGTGCGACAATAGGCTTCTACAGCGATAGGCGGTGGACGAAAGTGGGCTTCGTTTGTGTGAATCAAGGAGATGGGAGGATTTGGAAAGAATTGAATTAAGTGATAGGGTGGGTGCGGTGTGAGGTACTGTAGGATGTAATATGTACCTGATTTTTGAAAAGATAAATTTAATTTCTGATTTTTTAAATGAAAAGATAAAAACAAGATGGGTGTAACTTTTCCATAATGAATCCCATAGTTTTATTTTATTAAATTATAATTCATGGCCTATATATCTCTTTTTTTCTTGGAAAAAAACACAATGAAATCATTTCAACTTTTGTATTTCTATGCAAAATCGATTTAAGAATTCTTTTACTTTTCTATTCAAAACTCGAAAGTTTTGGAAATTTCTTATAATTACAGCACAAGTGATTCTATTATTATTATTTTTCTCATGAGCGTGATTGTCCAAAGAAACGACAACAGTTAACAGTGAGCAATTTCACTTTAAACTATTGTGTCACTACAAGTCTTGATCATTCGACAAGTCTTCTTATTTTCTGCATTTTATTGTTTGGAAAAGACCTTGGATTGAGCTTCAAAGTTCAAAGGTCTATGCGAGAAACCCTTTCCGACATACCATCTCATACTTGAACTTAAAACACCTCATAGATCGAGGTAGATTCAAGAATAATTCATATTCCTACTGGCTTAGACTCACATAATACTTTGCATTTTTAGTATCAAGAGTATGACCCGTATCGATGCTTGAAACCAAGAGACTCATGCATGACGACCAACGGAATGCAATGTTAGACAAATCACGAGGGTGTTTTATTCACGAGTCTTATTCCATTTTTAACTTTGATTATGAGCTAGAACTTATGAGTTTTGAACATTTTTAATATGTTTGTTTGTGTTGTTTTGTGGGAATGGTGAAATGGTACAAATCATGGATATAAAAAAGAAAACAAGGCTATTGACATAAATCGAGGAGAAAATAGTCAAATTTCAACATCAAGGAAAGGAAAAGACTGCTGCCCGACGCCACTACTAGTGCCATAGATGTAGAAGAATAGAGGTGACTCAAGGCCACGTAAACTAGCAAGAGTAGAGGTGTGGCGCCACGATGCCACACACTAGGCTCTACGACACCATTGAGGAAAGTGACAAGGTGCAGCCTGAAGATGGAAGAGGATGCATTTTTCGGCCCATTTTGAAGCCTACAAGAAGCCCTACATTTGACATAAATGTGAGAAGGAATATAGATACAAGTTATTTGCACTTTTGAAGGAGTTTTAGTCATTGAGAGATAAAGAATACAATTGGAGATTGAAGAGCGCAATTCAAAGGAGAAAAACAACAAGAAATTCAAGGGTTAAAGTATTGATTGAAAGAGGAATAATATCTTGGTGCAAGATTCAATCTCTTTTACTACATCTTGATTCAAAATCTGGTGATGTATTTAATAAAATTTTTTTTTTTTTGGTTGCATTATGAGTAGCTAAATTCTATATTAGGGCAAACAATGTAATCTACTTGAAATCCTTTATTTCTTTTATCCAAATTCTTGTTATTTTATCATAGATGTGTTTATTTTACTATGAGCTTAATACGTTGAATTATTTGATCACTAATTTGATGATTTTCTGAATCTTTTACGAATTAAGAGGTGAATTTGAGGTTTAGATCGTATAATAAAATTTGGTAGTCTAGTATAACGTGTAGAGATATTTATACTAATTATTGGGATCGTTATATGAATTTTTAGAACTAATATTTCGTTTAACTAAAATTGATTCATATAAAGATATTGGGTTGAATTAGGTAAATAGACTCAATGAGAAACCTAGAGAGGTAAATTGAATACAATAAAAGAAATCGATCGAATACTACCTTAAATTTTTGAATTTTGATTTAAGATTTAAAGGTGATCAATAGGTGAATTTGTTCTACCTAATATCTGTTCATATTTGAATTCGAAAGCAGATTAAGCCACACTGTTTGTCATCCTTTACATTATTTCTCATTATTTTTTCTACGGTACTCATTTTTAATCACATATTCTTCATTAAAATAATATTACACGCATTACACGCAAATCAAAATTTTTTTTCTTAACCACATGTTCTTTATTAATCACTATTCCATAATACATTTCTTCAAATTAATGAGGCTTAAAGGGCCTAAACCTGCTGGACTTTATCAAGAAACAAAGAATAACTCGAGTCTCTGAAGAAATCTACCAACAATAAGTTGGCCAGATGAACAACCAAGAAAACTGGGTGAATGAAGCCATCACCCTGCTGACCGGATGAACAACCAAGAAACTTCTAAAATTCTGACTCTTGAACGCCACTGACCAATGTACTTTACTGGTCGAAAACTCCCCTGAAGCTGGAACCCAATTCGACACAGAACCAAGGTCTGAGGCTGAAATTGAAACACAACAAGGAGAAGCACCAAGAATCTGTGCAAAACTTTGCAGAAAAACAATACACTGCACTGTTTGAACTCACCAGAAATTGTGATAAATTCGAAACAGAGAAGCACCAAGAAAACTGGGCAGAACTATGCAGATAACTGCTTCAACAATGCATCTGGCCTCTTACCGTTTTCAAATCTTCCAAGAGGAGGTAGAAAACTTGAAACTTCTAAGGACATTGCTGAGCCATTCTGGCCGGTCTATAGCCTTCAAGACACTTGAAATCTTCAAAGATAGTACTTTGAATCTTTCTTGAACATGCCTATCTATGGTGACCGAATTTTGAACCTCCAAGATACTTGAAATCTTCCACTATAACCTTTCTAAATCTGGATAGATTTTACAAAATCTGAGTTGCTAGATTTGAAGTTACCAATTCATGAAGGTAAAATCAAACAAAACTTCATTGAGCTATCAAATGCGGGCTCACTAAAGTAGAGAGCTTTTCTCTTTGACCACTCACATTGGGAGTTCTTTCTTAAGAGCCAGACTTCTTTTTATCAAGGAGTACAGATCATGCATTAATGATGTAGAGAGTGACATCTTGCAGTGTGTCAAAAGCTCGTACTCTGAATTTGATTTAGCGGCTATGTTACTTCATGCTGTAGATCTTATTCAAGAGCTTCGGAATGGCTTGTGTTTTTCTAGGTCCAGTGGCCCTCGCTTCTTTTGCCACATTACATCCAGTGCCTCGTCACTGACTGAATTGTGGACGAACTTTATATCATCTGATGTTCATGGCGACATTGCCCAATTATGTGTTTATTGCTTGGTTTCAGAAAAAGAGAGGAAATGTGTGCTTATATCTAGATTTATACAGCTATCTAGCACCGAACTATAAGCCCATATTTCAAAGGATTGGACAGGAAAATTATTCTGATTCAATTCGAAGAATAAGAGAAAATATCCTAAAAAGTGCAAATTTAACATATATTTTCTGGAAAAATACTTTTGTCATATGATCAACATTGGTAATGACACCTCAAAGTGACTGCAATGAAATTTCGATAATGCCGTTTGTCAACTCTCAATTTCTAGACCAAAATGTTCCTTGAGAATATATTTGGAAACTCTTCCGAATCCCTTCTTCGCTTCTTCCATGTCCTTTAGTTTGGACACTTCCCGCTTTATCTGTTCGATCCTGCTCTGGACAGCATCAAGTACGGTGGTATTTGGATCTTTCAATGAGGCGTGTCTTGAGAGTTCAGACCTTTCCTTATCAAGCTGTTGGTAAAGATTTAGGATATAGTTCTTATGAGCAAAAAGCCTTTCCTCCGCAAGTCTGTATTCAAAATCCTGGGACTTCCTTAGTGCATGCAGAATTTGATCAATCTCATCCTCAAGTTTAAGTGATTCAACACGATGATCAAAAGTTGATGATAAAGGCTGAGGCGATCCAACTTTATGATCATGTGGCTCCTCATAATTTTGGAATCCAAATGCACATTTGCCATTTAGAGACAGCCCTACTATTTGTCAACAAGCATAGAAGCCTTTTGAGAGAAATCAACTTGTTCACAGCACAACATAATAAAAATTAGATAGGGCAGGTGAAGAAAACTCATTGGTTGATAAACTAGCAACTTCACCAGATAACATGAAGAAAATGAGGGGTTAATACTCCAGTGGTGCAACGCAGTTAAATTACAGTCCATGTCACTGAACCGGAGAACATATTTCTAAGCTTCTTTTTAAAACAGAAGATGGAACATATGAACAAATTCATCATATATTACTCCCTCCGTCCCAATTATATAGGCTGAATTTTCTTTTTCTCTTGTCACCTATTTCTTAATTTAGAATATTTTGTTTTGTTCATTTATCAATATACCCTTATTCAATTTTTCCCACTTAATATGTCAACTTCTTGAAATCATCCAAATACACATATTTCCCACTTCTTGGAAACATGAAACAACTCTCATTTCTTTTTCATCAAGTTAAATCATTCAAATTCTTTACTAATTTCAATTACTACTACATAATAAAAATTAAATAGGGGTCAACTAGGAAAAATCTTGACAAAAATTAATTTTCCAACGACATTAAAGAAGATTTATTAATCCGTGTGAAAAACGAAATAAGTATATATAATTGGGACGGAGGGAGTATGATGTACAATAAAAGGATATCCACGAATCAAAAAAAAATTCATTATGCATGTCACAAAAAGACACCCATGAATGAGCTTGCTTTTATTTTAACAAATTCATTTTGTATTATAACGTATTATAAAAAGATATCCACGAATCAGAAACAAAAGACTATATACGAGTTTCCTATTTATTTTAACAAATTCATTTTGTATTATAACGTATTATAAAAAGATATCCACGAATCAGAATTTTTTCCAGTAGTACATGTACTAGTTTCCTTGTTTTTCTTTGGTTTTTGATCATTAAAAGGCTAGAGCAGTACTACCTCCAGTAACTGCAGTGTCTTCCTCCTTCCAAATATCCTCAAGTTCAGTTCCATTCCTAAGCTGATGTAAATATCAGATTGGTTATGCCCATGGTTTATAGAACCTGGAAACATAAAAATATATGAACTTAAAAGGAAAAACATGTTCCTCGACCATTTTCTCATTGATACCTTTTCCATGGCCATCTCAATATGATGCAGCAACTGCTTTCCACTTGTTTTCTCCGATCCACGTAAAATACAAATACCAACATTCAGAATCTTCTCAATGTCATCCCGAGAATCAACTGATTTGCACTTTTGTAGAAGCCTTTCAACATGCAAAACGAGATCTGTCCTTGAATCACATCGACGGCAATAGTACTCAGTTTCCAAACCAATGGTTCCCCCAACTGTCCCAGCCATGTAAGCTCGTAGAGCACACTCAATATGTGCACTGTGTCCACAAAAATAGCCATCTATTTTAGCTTCACATCTAATGTTACTATAGCCTCCAAACGCCATTTTGATAGTCTTACAACAAAGAATACAACAACAATCTCTGCAGAAGCCAGGTTCACTGCAGCAAATATCACAAGACATGACATCTGAAACAGAGTCCTCTGTTGCAGATAAACTGTTGCAAACTCGGTTACCAGCCTTACAACAAATGTCATCAAACTGAGAGTCGGAACCTGAATGTTCTGCAGTTTCCCTGGGAGGTGTGAACAGTTCTATATCATCTACAAATACAACAAACAAACTTCATAAAGGTCTTAATTCAAGTCGCAGTAAGAATAAGCAATCTACCATCACTCAAAATGCTTTAAATGTGGTCCTCCATCATCAATAGCATTCATACTTAAACGAGCTATTTCACAGAAACTCTTGTCAAAAATAAAAATAAAAAATAAAATAAAATTAGAAAGCTCGTAGGCTCATCGTGGCTGGCTCATAACAAATCATGTTAATTTGTTGTGTTAGATCATCTTAAATTGAGACTCACACTAAGGTCCAGCTTACACATCTAAATGAAATATGTTTAGTACCTTCGATTTGACAAAAGTGAATACAAACAAGGATTGTGCTGAGTACACAATGATATATATATATATTCAGTCATTATTATGGGCCAATGGTGTGAAAAATAATATTCAAATATATAATTCTCCATGGAAAGAAAGATGACTCATTTACCAAATCCTCCCAAAATATACACAATTCAAGGAATTTAATCTATTGAAGTACCAAATACCAGAACTGCTAACCATTATAAATTTACAATAAGAGTAAAAAATAAAAAATATATATATAATAACCAAAATAAAAGCTACCTTTCATGCGTGATTTTGAAGGAATCTTCCAACTAAATGATGCAAAAAATGCGTTAACATCTGCATCAGGGAAGTTCTTCCGGATATACTGTTCGAGAGAGAGTTTGCTTGCAAAACCAGTTTTACGTCCACCCTCCCTGAGACGCGCAGGAGTATACATGTATCTATCCAAAAAATATCCAGAAGCAGCAATGCGTCCTCCCACCTTCCAGCTCCACTTATCACCAGGATAAGGCCAATCTTCGGGAGCATATGGAAGACCTTCACCCGAATCATAAAGAGAAACAGGATAGAGGGGCATGCCATTTTCCTTCAGCCCACATGAGCTGCCTTTAGTCACACTAGTACTGTCAATGTCCATAGACTCGCACGCTGACAGGTCAATATAAATGTCAAACTCTGCATAAAGCAATAGAAAAATCATAAAAAAAAATGGCATGTTATATAGCATTGAGAACATGAATATACTTAAATCCGTTAGAACAGGAAGTAACAAAATGGGAAACATTCACAGCATTCTGCAAAAATAAACAGAACATGTTACAGCGACAAGCTGGTTTTGATGGTATCGAAGCAATTATATGCATATTAGAATCCTGTAACCTGGACTTTCGAAGCCTATAACAAGCTTCTTAGACCTGAATCACTGATACTGCAGCAGTGACTCAAATCTAATAACATTGAAAAAACTTAAGGTGCAAGTACTAAACAACAAAATCTATCCTTCAGCTGAGACTGCAACAAATGAGAAGCACCTAAATATTAATTGGAATGGCTTTGGATCAAAGATGAGATCTCGTGGTGCAAAGTGGGTATCTGTAAAACCTTAGGAGTATAAAGTTCCCGTAAATAAATAGGAAAAAGTTCCCTTTCCAGCACATTCAGAACAAGTAGCCTCAAAACTAACAATATCATATGTAACTTTCTTGATTGCTTTCGGATGAGAAATTCTGTTAGTCTACTAAAAATGTAACTTTGCTGACTTTATTATAGATATTAAAACCTCAGAAGAAAATTTTTAATCAGCTCGATGAATTGTCAGGAATGTTCTTTTCTCTGCCTTCCCCTCTTTGCCATTTTTAAAAATTGTCCTTCTCCACGTACTTTGACAAGTGTTCAAGCTTCCTGTCTTTACTATTTTTAAAATTTATCATTCCCCGCCTAAATTAAAAATTTGACGAGCACAAGCACAAAAGCTCAAGCCATACACCTCCCAGAAATGTACTCTTACTCTGAGAATTGCACAGATTAGGGTTTCTGAAAATGGAAGCAATCCCCAAGCTAAAAGTAAAAGATCCTTTCACATAAGAAACCAAGAAACGATCAATTGTATGAAAACAATTAATTCAAAGTAAACAGCTCTGTCAGTAGCTCTCGGATTCAACGTGACTTTTTTAGAAATCAACGCCTCTTATTACCGTAATGTATTCTAGGAGAAACTTACAGACAAACAGCAAACAGCATAAACTAAGCAAAGATTGAAAACTCGATGCAAAAGGTATTTTCGAGTTGTAAAAAAATAAAAATTCAATTATATATTCAATTTAATTAAATAAAATCGAAAGTATATGCGAATTATAAATGTTTATATGCATCCAGTGAATTGTGAATATCATTCAGAAACCCTAAGAAGAAGAAATGAAAGAGGGTTTGAAGGTGGCCAATGTTAATTTTTATTCAGAGTATTTGAACAAGAATTTAGATTAAGGAAGAGTTCATACCAAATGAGAACACTCGGTTTTCAAATGACCAATTTGCCACAGTTCGCCAGCATTCTTGTAGGTATTCACCTTGGGTCTGTATTTTGTTCAATCCGTTTGAGATACGCTGAATTTGGCTTGATGGGGGCTGCTTGGGAGTTATGGATCACCGTCAGGGTATTATTTATTGAAGTATCAATTTTGGAGTCCACGAGTGGATTCATTTTAAGTGACTTTTAAGCCCTGTTTGAGCCCCATTTTTGTCAAGAAAATGTATTTTTGAATAGTATAATGATGTAAAATGTGTGGTTAAAAAATTAAAAAAAAAGTTTTAAATTTTCGTATAATATTATTTTATTGAAAAATGTGTGATTGAAATGATGTCAAAACACTGTTTAAAATTTTTTTTTTTCAAAAAAATGAGGCTCAAACAAGGGCTAAAATTGATAAGGACCCATTTTTTCAACCACTCATAAATGATGTCACTCAAAATTAGCACAAGAAAAAAAAAATGATAGAGGAAAAAAAATCCTCTCAAGCATGCCTTAAGAGAAGGCAAAATGCTACGTTTGCATTAGGGTTGGCAATGGTTCCGTTCGGGGTTGGTTAGTCCAAAATTATTACCAAACCATCAATTTTTTAGTCATATCATAACTGCACCATAATCACGTAAGTTGGTTCTGTTCGGCTCGGCTCAATTCGGATGATTAATAGCCACGAAAATAAATTAGTTTTTATAAATCTAACCGTCAGATTGGAAAAATAATTTATATATTAAAAAAAATCAATAAAAACAAAAACACAATACTAGCGAATTTAGTATCCCAAATGAAAATACAAACAATATCCTAATTCCCAAATGCAAAATTCAAATTTGACAAACAGTTTCCATATATATTTAATATTGTGGAAATTACACAAAACCATACATTAAAAATTCAACATTCTAAAATCAGATGGCAAGTTTAACAATTCAAAAATCAGGAATTTTTTTTAATCAATATTTTTATTAACCAAAATTCGAAACCCTATTCATTTCACTCCCCCAGTCTCATCGTCACTCTCCCTCTCTTCTACCATCACTCTCCATCTTTTCCCTCTCTTTCTTTCCATCTGCTCACCGTCCGCCAGAGACCTACCCATGCCACTTCAAAATGATGACACCGCGCCATCGCCACCATGTAGGTAGCACTACATAACGCAGCGCGATGTCCCACATCTCCGGTCAATCACCGTGATTTGCGGCGGTGAAATGACACCGCAGAGCTGAGCCACCACTCAGGCGACTCGCTTTGTGAAGAAGTCATGCGTCAGTGTGTGCCACATCTCCAGCGACACCACCGCTGCAGATTTGCCGTTTCTCGTCGCCGCCGTGGGCTGAGGACGAGTGTGATTGCTATCGAATCTGATCTTTTTGTTGCTTCTGCTTTCAATGTGGTTGATTTGGATGTTGTTAGTGTGTTGGTGGCGACGATCGTGGTGGTTTCTGGCGACGGTGTAGTTTGTTGATTTTGGAGATTGCTGTGACAGTGATTTTGCATTAACGTGAGGTGGTTTGGTTATTGTGATAGTGATTTTGGGTTGATGTGGTGTGTGGTGGTGTTTTGCAGTCTGTCGTCTCAACGGTGATCGTGGCGAGAGGTGGTTGGGGTAGGTGGGATGAGACGTGGAGGTGTTTGTGATCAATTATTTGGTTATGTGTGACCAAATAAATTGGTTAATTTGTGACCAATCAATAAATCGTGACCCATGGAATTTTTGATGGCGAAGGTAACGTTGGATATGGTGGTGTTGTGGTTCTGATGATAGCTGTGGTGGTGGACATTGTGGGTGAGATGGTGGCGATGGTTATGGTGATATGTTGTTGGCGCGGTTCTACTGAGGTGGTGGTGGATATGGCACAGCGATTTGTTGATTTGAGGTGGTGATGTTGTCGTCGAGAGATGGCGGTGGTCGCAAATGTTGATGGTGGTCACAGATTATTTGATTGAATGTGACCAGCGAATTAGTTAATCTGTGACTAATAAATAATATGTGGCCAATGAAAAAAAATTGTGACCAAGAAATATTGTGCGATCTAAAAAATTAATAATTTGTGACTGTCTTTTAAGTTGTGACCTATAATATTTGTGATCTATGACTTATAAATTTTTGATTTGTGACCCATAAAATTTTTGATTTGTGACCGAGATATAAGTAGTGACCAATAATTTGATAAGTTGTGACTAAAAATTAATCGTGACTCATAAATTTTTTGATTTGTGACCGATGAACGAGCTGTGATCTACAAAATTTTTGAATTGTGATCGTAAAATAATTTGTGACAAAATTTCTTATTCGTGACCAAAAAATAATAAGTGACTAATTAAATTGTTAATTTGCGACCAAATTAGATGTGACCAATAACAATTTTGATTTCGTGACCTATAAAATTTTTGATTCATGATCGAAAATAATATGTGACCTATAAAATTTGTGTTTGTGACTTATAATTTATTGAGTTGTGACCGAAAAATTAATCTGTGACCTATAAAATTTGTGTTTGTGACTTATAATTTATTGAGTTGTGATCAAAAAATTAATCTGTGACCTATAAAATTTTTGATTCATGATCGAAAAATAATATGTGATCTATAAAATTTTTAATTTGTGATCGAAAAATAAGTTGTGACCAATAATATGATAAGTCGTGACTAAAAATTAATCCGTGACTAATTATTTTTGGATTTGTGACCAATAAACAAATTGTGACTTACAAATTTTTTAAAATGTGATCGTAAAAAAATTTGTGACATAAAATTTTTGATTTATGACCAAAAAATAATATGTAACTAATTATATTGTTAATTTGTGGCCAAATTGTATAGATCTGTGACCTAAATATATTTAATTAATAAAATAATTAATTAACTAATTAAATTATAAATATTTTTTAATAAAAATTTGATTTTAGAAATTTGAAACTTGTTTTCTTTTTTTTGAAATGTGCCATAATTAATTTCTTAGTTATGAAATTTTCCCTTTAATATTTGTGTATAGGGTATAGAGTTACTGAGTTAGGTTAGTTGAACTTAGCGGGTCGATAATGGGCCATAATTTTTGGCTAGAATGAATCATAGAAAGAATAATGGAAAGCCCAATTGTCCAATTAATTTTTTTTAACAGGTAATCGATTCGAGGTTTGGCGACGGTATAATTACTATATCCGTCCTACCCCGAGCCGCAGTGGCGAATCCAGGATTCAAGTTCAGCTAGGGCGGTTTGACCATTGACCGGCGATCGTTGACTGTCGACAATCGTAATTGTTCGATCGTTTATTAAAATTTGGTTACATAATATTAAAAGTTATTCAATATATACGTAAATGCACTAAAATGTCAAAATATATAGTATAAAATTGGAATGCAAATGCAAATGATGATTACAAAAGATGAAAAGAACCCCCGATTTTTATATAGAAGTGATTTACCAAAACATAGCTGACTCTAGATAAGTATGGGACATTCTTTGTTGATTTGACTGGCTGACCAAAAGGTAGTGTGAGTTGTTACACAAATTTATATACCTATCATTATCTCTTAATCATTTTTCTTGGCAATTGGCATATTCATCTTCTTTTTCAATATTTTCCAGCTTCATTTACATTAATTAAGGGAACACAAAGTATGCTATTTTGTTAAACATCCATAGTACAACATGGATAATATTCATTCCTACTCTTCATTATTTTCTAGAACCGGAAGTGAATGTAGGTAATTATATTCTAAAATACACCAAAACTAACTTTGAGTGAAAATGATAAAATATGGGCGAAGAACTTCCAATATGCCACCAGTGACCAGTCAACTACCAAGCATAACGACAGACATAGTATTGATATTTAGAATTCAATAATATACTGAAATTGGTGTAACGTGCATCCTCTTTTTACCATTAGGTAATCTAAATTATCTAATAGTACAATGTTTAAACACGAGTTTCATTGTTTTTCTTCTTTAAGTTGAGCAATTCTTTTATGTAAAAAATTAAACTCATAAGTCCTGTCCCCACTATTTAGAAGCTAAAACCTCTGTTCTATGAAAATAAAATCCTGTCTATTAGCTTAGCTGTGTGAAAGATATAACAAATTATAATGTAATTCAAACAAACTTATTTTTAAGTCCAACAAAATATGTTAGCATTTTTACGCACTCTTCAAATTCCCATTCTTGAAAATTGAAATTTGTTAGCATTTTTACGCACATCAACACCAAAACCCAAAAAAATAAATAATAATAACAAAGATTGAAAGAAGGAGTAATCACTCACCGGACATTGACCGGTCCGAAAGTCTGATACCTGAAGTTCGTGGTGTGAATTTGGAGCAAGAAGAAGTGAGGATGAGGAAAAGCGTTTGGTAATTTGGGGGAAATTCAGAATTTCTTGCTGCTGCCTCTCGTGATTACTGACTCGTCTTCTGCTGGCCCTGGGAATGAAAAATGAAAGTTAAGGCCAAATAAAATGGGTTATGGACTACCGGGTTGGCTAATACTCTCTTGGGCTTCATAAATTAACTAAAAATCGGCCCAGAATTTAATATACTTAAGCCCAACAGCCAAACCCAACCAAAAAAATTAAAACCCGGCTGAGCGGCTCTGTCTTCATCTTCCTTCTTCAGAGAATCAGAGTTCTTTTGTTCTTCAGTCTTCTCCAATGGCGCAAGTCTGCAACTCCTTAGACCTTACTTACCCGGCGGATTTACAGATTCCGGCGAAGCCAGCATGCGCGGCCGCGCCCCCTCGCCGGGTGCTGGCTCCGCGCTTGCCGAGCCGAGGCATTGAAATCAAATATCATATTCACCTCATTGCGCCATCGATTCGACATTTTTCGTCCCATTCGATTTTATTAACCGCGATTTTCGATTTTGATGGTTCGAATTGCCATGGAGTACCATCCACAACACTTTGTATTTTAT